TATAGGAAGTCAAGACAAAATTATAATTTACCATTTTCTATTTATTAATAAAACAAATATTTTCAGATCATTATTTTTTCTTGTATGACATGTATAAATTATTGAGACATCTACTTTTTTTTTTATTGTCTTTTTTTTTTGTGCAAGCTTTTCTTTTCTAAAAATGATATAATTAGAATAATTGATATCAAGATATCGAGTTGCACAGTGATAATTGCTCAGCAAGACAGCTAAGATTTCATTTGCATATGGTAAGGTTATGATAAAGTAAAAGGATACTGGTCAAAAATTGGTGATCTTACTACAAATGAAAAATAATTAAAACTCTCTCCTAACACCATGCCTTCATACAGTTTCCCCCTTACAATTTACTGTCATGTTATTGCCTAAAGACTTAGTAGTTAAGGTGGAAATGAACAAATCCAAAGATGAGTATTTTTAAAGCTATAATAAATATAAATAAAGTATATGGAAGAAACAATACATTTCGAATTTGGTGAGTTATAACATTATTACTTGTTTTATCCTACATACTAAACAAACTTTTAGTTCTTGGTTTGAAATACTTGTCAGAAAAAGTCTGGTTAAAGAAATTATACAAATTCATCTTTCATCAGAAATGTAGTGTTTTTTTGCAATGAAAGCAGTAAAAGTGAATGAAAAGGAGAGTTGGGGCACAAACTGTCCTGTAATTTGAGAAAATTTTCAAATTATATATAATATATTTAAAAAAAAATTTAAGGGTAGCTTTCCTGTTTTTTTTTCTTACTTAACCTAAATTAGTGCAATCCACTTTGAAATTTTTTTAACACTTTCAGCGATTATTTAATGTTGCTTGCATATGCTTTTTTTTTGGGGGGGGGGGTGTAAATATATCCTAGATCATCATTTACTTTTAATTTTTCTACAGTAGCTGAGCTACATCATTACTAAAAGCTAATCTAAACACTTTAATAAACTAACAGAATTTTCTGAATCACACTTTATTGATAAAAAGGATCAAAATCACATGTATACTGAATCAACTGTTACAGTAGACATCACCCGCACTCAACTACAATTACCATAAATACATCTCGCAATGTTGTAGTCTCACTAAAAATATCATATACTTAGGTTTTATTTTTTAGGGTAAAGGTCTTTGATTCTCAACATCTGAACTCTTTAGAAAAGAAAACTGCTGTACATATGATTCCTTATCTAGTTTCACAACACAGTTATATAATGAAACTATTTGGCCTCAAAAACAGTGGAGCTATGGAGAAATATACAAATCAAAACTTAATATCAAGAAATTACAATTATGTGTCTATATACAATTTTTTCCTCCTCTTAGGAGTAATCTAAACTTGTACCTTGCTTACATGTTTTCTCTGACATGTCAAGAGCATGATTTATGCTATGTTGCAACTACTCTTACTAAAAGAACATGCTGAACCATGAAGTATGCAGAACAAAAAGTCGAATAAGTTAAAACAGTTGTTTCTAAGGGTAGTAATTACTTAAAAAAGGTAATATTTGAGTAGGAGTCTTTCATCTACAATACACTTACTAAACAGCAAACTTACCAGTATGATATATAAATTTGTAAGAACCTAAATTTCTCACATTCTCGTAAAAGTTTTAGAAAGTGAACTATCCTAGAGTATTTATGTTATGTAGCAAACTTTGGTGAAGTTAAAAGTAAAGATTAAAATAACTTTCAAAGAAGGTTAAATTGATCAAAATATTGCTAAATTAAAATGAACCCCTTGTTGTGCTGAACTTTGGGTTTCCCTAAATACTATAGAGAAAAGATGATCTGTCAAACAGTACGTTTAAGTAGCAACTAAATTCTTAATGCAAGTCTGTTATTCATATATATATGTATATATTTGTATACAAATATTTGGAATAGTATATTTTTGTATAAAAACTAGTGTTTTCAGTTCAATATTGAATTAACAAACCCACTGAAGATCAGATTACGAAACCCAACCAATAAAGGTTTTTTTCTAATATAATGAATTTACTGTTCCATAGACAATGTTTTATAACATCTTCAGTATAGATGAATGTACTTGAATTAATATTAAGCTGTTGTAGTAGCAAGTATTTTTATTTATTCTCATTGTGTTGGTTTCATGCAAAGTTTTAATCTTAATATATTTGAACTGATTTCGCCAAAATTTTAAAATATCCATAAATTTATCCACAAATTACCATTGT